GTCCCCTACAAGATTTCAAAAGAGCAGCCCCAGCGCTACGTTTGAGCTACATGTATGAAACTTGATAGCCACATGTATCCTATGGAGACTTAAATATAAGTCTCTTGGGACCATGCTCTAAACCCTACCGGAAGTCATCCAGTTTCATTTATGTGTCATTTTTCAATAGATTTTGGCCTATTTCTAGTCGCTATACTTTAAAGAACTCCTCCTAGGTACTTCATCAGATCAACTTTAAATTTTGTCAATACAATAACAACACCGTTGTGATTAAAAGTTATCAAAAGCTTTACGTTTGACGGAATCGGTGAGCCGTAGCGGGCGGCTACTTTACGTGATTCCCCATGAAAAAAGCTGTAACTCAGCTGGACTTGTTCCAAACAGTCCCAAACTTCACATGCTTGATAACACTCATGGCCTGAGGATGTCTACAAGCTAATTTCCCCTAATACTCACACCACCACCTACTGGCGAAAGGAAATCTGGATTTTGTCATAAACACCTCCGATTTACATGACTTTTACACAATGTGGTTTACATTTGACACATGATGCATGTTTGCACACATTCTGTAGTGCCAGGCAGAGGATACAGGAAGCATCGGACTATTTGCAAAGCATCATTTCCAGCATCAGGCGGTCGACGCGGGATTAAATCCGTCTCACTCGCAGACGCGCAGGCCAGAGTCCCGCCGCCGCCCCCGACACGCTGCAGATTGCGAGGGCCCGTTCATCGCAGCTTTAATTTCTTATTCTTATTTTGTCGCAAAAAGGAGGTGCTTGGGATACTGGAAAACTTTCGAAATTTGGCACGCAAGCCAGAATTTGCGATAATTGCAGTCTGATTGGGGTGTCCAGCTGCGGTATGAAATATTGGCTCGATAGCGCCCCCTATTGAGTAGCCCCAACATTAGGTTTCACCTAGCTGTATGAAATTTTGTAGATATGTGGATTGTGATGGGACGTACAAAAAATCCTCTTTTAATTTTTCTCTAAACCAAACAGGAAGTCGGCCATTTTTTATTTTATGACGTTTTTGGACCGTTTCAAGGCGTCATACTTTAACAAACTCCTCCTAGAGATTTAACCCGATCAACTTCAGATTTGGTCAGTATGCTCTTGAGACCTTGGCAGTGTAAAGTTACTCAAAGATCAAAAAGTTATCGAACTATGTGTCCGTGTCGTGGCATCAAAAAAACACCATTCGCCATGAAACAGGAAGTTGTTCTAACTCGGCCGTACATTGTCTAATCTGCTGTCCTGAAGACATCCAGTCCTGAAGACATCTGCAGGCCAATTTTGAATCACAGTCATAGCGCCACCTACTGGTAAGGTAACAGGAAGTTAAAGTCTTTATACTTTGGCTTGTTTCTCTTAGTAGGTAAATCAGATCAACATCAAATTAGTTCCACACAAATATAAGAAGTTCATAATGCCAGTTCATGTAGCTTTTGATGTTTCGTCGAACCCCGTTGCCGTGGCGACACAGTCTTCGCCGTGAAAAACGAAGGTAATTTTGAGAGGCTAGAAATGCTCGAAACATAAGCAAACTTGGCATACACATTTAAAGCCCAAAATGTAGTTATATAATATGATTTTATTGGTTCAGAGTGGCAAATCGGCTCAATAGCGCCACCTACAAAATTTCGACGAAGCAGCCCTCGCTGTACGTTTCACATAGATTTACAAAATTTGGAAGGCATATGTATCACATGTGGACTTAAAATAAAGTCTCTTGGGACCATGCTCTAAACCAGGGGTGGGCAAACTTTTTGGCTCGGGGGCCAAAGTTTTAAAATTTGACAGACGGGCCGGGCCAGTAGCAGATGAATGGAGTGTTTGTGTGAACTAATATAAATTACAAGTAAAAGTAACTTGCATTTAATTTCAGTGGGAACAGTGTTGTTGGTCACCCTTTTTAACCAGTGCATCAACGTTTGGTGTTTGATTGTGGCAATTCTCAGAACAGATCTGAGGTGTTCATCAGTTAACTGGGATCTTACACAGTATTATTTTTCGCATTAATGCATATTTTATCGTGCACTTACTTATTAAGCAGTCATTTTTGACACAGTGTTTTTAGTGTAAAGGTTAATGAATGTGGTATTTTTAGCGGTTTGATTATTTGAAGGGATGATACAAATATTTGACTTTCACATCTAACATTATCAGAGTTCTGCTCTGTAATGTCTTTCCTTGTCTCTCCCCCCTGTGTCATGGTGTGGGTACATCTCACTGGAGTCAGGAAAGGTATCAGAATACCCTTATTTTATTGGCTGAACTGCATCACGTGACGTGATTTACAACGCATTGGTCGGTGTTTTTCCTGCACCGCTGAACAAGTGCCGTACATGCTGGAAAGGAACGTGAATAACTCCGCTGCATAAAGCAAAGGCCCGCGACCCACTGAAAATGGGTCCGCGACGAACCACCAGTTGAGAATCACTGGTCTCCAGGATCGTGACGAGCGGTGAACAGCTGTTTGTGTGCCGTGTCTTCCGTCTCTTCCTGTTTCCTTCACCTACATTCCCCTCGGTCCTAAGCCGCTCCATGTACAGCTTCTTATCACCCTCTTTGCACCAATGTACATTTATAACAAATACCACGCATATTACACGGTAATCAGCGTTGCATATGTGTCAAACTCTATCGGTGCATCTCCGGTCTGTCTTTGTTCATCCTGCATCGCTCTGTTCTGTTCTCTAATGTAACGTAACAGGAGCGACGGAGCCTCTCCAAGCTGTTAGCAGACTGTTGTGCTAGCAGGCTAGCAGTGAAATTTTATAAATGTAGAATTATTAGTGTTACAAATTGTTTATGTGTCACAGACTGTTGTGTGCTGTGGTGTTCTTCTCTGTTAAAGAGCGATAGTTGTGGGTTGTTAATTGTTGTGTTATAAAGTTATGACCATGACTAGGGGTCCCTCTCAATACATATAAGAGAACTAGCGCTGACCGCTGTGCAATAGCGGCAAAGAATACATTTAGCTGCCTGTTGAAAGCAGACAGCAGTTGTTTCGGCTATGCACCGGTATAATGGTGTGTGAAGAATTCATATCATACGGGAAATTAAAACCGGTATACTGCCCAGCCCTAGTCTTTATTATAGTTCAGACAATGTTCTACCAATATTTGACGGGCCGGATTAAAAAGCCCAACAGGCCGTATCCGGCCAGTGGGCCGTAGTTTGCCCATGCCTGCTCTAAACCCAACCGGAAGTCAGCCATTTTGAATTTTGTATGAATTTCTTGTGTTTTTTTTCCATTTCCAGGTGCTGTACTATGAACTCCTCCTAGGGAATTAATCCGATCAGCTTAGAATTTGGTCAGAACAATCTAAAGACCTTAGCGATTAAAAGTTACTAAAAGCTTTAGGTTTCATCGAACGACGTGGATATGGTGTGGCAGCCATTTGACATGGTTTGCCATCATCCATCAAGCTGTTGTAACTTGACTGTACTTTGTCAAAACTGTCCCAAACTTAACATGCTTGTTGACTGTCATGGCTTTAGGACTTCTGCATGACAATATTAACTCATAGTCATAGCGCCACCTACTGATAAGCATGGACGTAAGCAGGATTCTATAATTACAGCGGCCCAAACACTGAACTTATTGAAAGGGTTTGTGGGCACACCATGAGAAAAAGACTTCTCTGATCTAAATATGTGCAAACTAAGATGCTTGGAGAGCAAAAGTTAGATAACAGTGGATTTTCAAACCATGTCAGTGGGCATTAGTATAAATGATCTGTCCAGAGCTTCTTCATGACAATCAGGTTAAATGTTACAATGAATGCTTCACACTACAATCTAAAGTTACAGAAGAACTTAAAATGAAAACAGTGTCAAATTAAAGTGTTCAAGTAACAGCAAATGGCACTACTGTTTTGTTAACTTTCATGTAAGTCCAAATACAATCAGCAGGACACTGAAGAGAGTTGAACCCATCCCAGTAAACTGACAGTCTGTTATGTTACAAACACTGAAGCACATTCACACACATTCATTTTCTTAATGATCTTTAAAGGCTTACATTTATGATTGTATCGGATGTACACTCAAAACATTTGAGGCTTAAGACCTGGCAACATGATCTTGCTACGCTGCTGGTCTACGCAGGAAATATCTCACTCGTGCACGCAGAGTGTGATGATCACAGAAATTCATGGCCGCGTCACCCAGAGTCCTGCCAATACCAGGAAATACCGTTTAACTCATGCACGCAGTGTATGACGGTCACAGAAATGCATGGCCAGAGTCCTGCTAGTACCCTCGAGGTGCGTGAAGTTGCGAGGGCCCGATCAATGCTGCTCGCAGCTTTAATTGTAAAATGTTATTGTACCACTTCACCCAGAGGGGAGTGAGCAGTTAAAGGAACAGTGTGTAAGATGTACTGGCATCTAGTGGTGAAGTTGCAAACTGCAACCAACTGAATACCCCTCTGCTCACCCCTCCCTTTCCAAGCGTGTCTGAGAACTACGTTGGCCTTCAGGTTATGTAAAAATGTAAAAGACTGTCTCCAGAGTCGGTGTTTGGTTTGTCCGTTCTGGCCTACTGTAGATATGTGGTGCTGCAACACGGCAGACTCCGTGAAGAGGATCCGCTCACAATGTCGATATGAAGGACTCATTATTGTGCTATGCTTTCGAAGAAGAAATACTCTCCTGTTCTGATATAACTGATGTATTGCAGCATCTACGCTAATGTATTTTTCTTTTTTTAAGTGGAGGCTAGCCACCTCTCGCCCATGTGCAAAGCTAACACGTCCCAGACAAGTCACTGAACACACAAAGATGAAAATAGTATGGCTTGTCCATCCAACTCCCTGTAAAACAGCAAAGAAGCTCTCCCACAAAAATGTCAGTGTAACAATTATGCATTACAGCCCAACACTGGTGAGGTTGATCTTTAGTTTTATCTACTTTACTTGATTCACTGAGTTAATTACAGTTAGTTACACATCCCCTTGCTTAAGTGTTACAGTAGTCCTGCAGGTCTTACCTGTGGGGAGAGTCCGTTACTGACAGGGTTGACGTGGTTGCTAGGTGCTGCAGAGCTCATAAAGGAGTCAGAGTAGCTGGAGAAGCCGTGGCGGTTTGAGGCAAGACCAAAGGCAGAGCTGCTGTCAGTGCTGGACAGACCGCTCTGGTGCATGGTGGATGGAGGCAACGGTTGGGGACGGTGAACTGTACCACTGCCATCTAAAGGGGAAAACACAGCACAGCACATAGCTGAGCACGTAAAGATACACTGGTCAAAACCTTCATTCACCAGTATACTGCTGGGTGCAATAACACAGATATATTTCTCCAATTGCTCAAGAGTATAAATAAGACAGGAGCTAGGCTAGCAGTTTCCGCCTGCTACCAGTCTGTGTGATTAGCACAACCTGGATATATCTATGAACAGCAGTGTCGACGGCATCGTTTTTAGGTGAGCAGGGGACCCATAGCTTTAGTAGGCTACATATGATGAAAAATGCATGAGTTCAAATTTACAATGTATGCATAGGTGACAAACGAATGGAAATACATGAATGAATGCGTTTAGAAACATACTGAAAGCAGATTAGTCCATACAAGTGAACAGGGCTCACTGAGTGGTTTGATGAGTATGACAATTATGTATTTTGCTATGACCTTTCAGTAAGTTTAAATTAAGTTGTGCGTGCATTTCTGTTTAGTGCATCTGTTTGTTTTGATTTTGAGTCACTTTGCACTTTGTCTGAGTTATCTCAAACAAAGTGAAAATAATGTTGACAAGTGTACATAACAGGTCTAGGATATTTTTTTATATAAAGATAAAAAAACACCCGTGTGAGATTGTGGAGCCACATGTTAAACACTGCCCTCCATCATCACCTTAACACCCAAATACATTTTCTTTTGGAAGAATGCTGTTCATTCCTCCAGGAGAGTTCCAAACTCCTGGAGAATCTATGACAAGCAGCACTGTTGCTGTTGTGGCTTGTAGTGGATCAACACCTCACTAACACACTGCATCACTATCATCTGTCACCCATTTAAAAGTGGTGTCTTCTCTACCATGGGACAGAGTGTTGGATGGGTAGCTGGACTCTGGCAGCTGGTACGTAGGAAGTGTTGGCATCCCTGTGGGAGGGAATCCACCCGGCAAAAGGTGGTTGAAAGCCGCTAGCTGATTGGCTCCTGCTTGTTTTCGCCACCTGGCCCTTCGATTGCTGAACCAAACCTGGTAAGAAAAAGAGCGATAACAAAATGAATCTGTTTCATTAACCTTATCTCAGACTCAGAGTTGGCTTTACTGTTGCATGTTAATACATTAGAATTGAGCTGGCAGCTGAAGTTGTGTCACATGCTATCGCTACATCCACAGTAATACGTTTTTGTTTAAAACCGAGGTTTTAGAACAAAAACGTCCACACGGGCATTTCAGCATTGTTTTCGTGATTTCCATCCATACAAGCAAGCCTGAAAACGAATATCACGTGACTATTCACGTACACTGGGCATGCGGGTGTCGATGTAACAGGAAGTAGATTGGTTACTTAGTTACAGAAAATACAACAGTTATTATAGTATAGTATAGTATTATAGTAGTCATTAAAAAGAAAAGGTTGTGCTTGATACTTAAGATCTTCTTTTATAATCTTCCTCTATATCAGGGGTATTAAATTAAATTTCCAAAAGGTCCAGATTGAGAAAATCTCCTCATGCAAAGGTCCGGACCATTACAATAATATCTAACTTGCACTATTTAGTGCCATATATATATATATATTCAAGAAGTCTAGTAGTAGTAACGCCTCTGTGTAGTAAACTGTCAAATCAAATAAAGAAAGTACACATCAATTATATTTTAAGAATTATTATTCTCAGTTTTCAAATTTAACTGGATGAATTATAAATAATACATAGAAAACATAAATAAATGTTCTTCTCATTTCAAGGAAAATAATGGCTGGATTAAATAATAACTGACATAACAGAAAGCTTTTGAAAAATGTGCATCTTAAAATGAAGTAACTCATTTTAGAAAAAATTATTTCACTGAATTGTCCTGCAGCTTTAAATTGAGTTCATTCAGGTGTGAAGTGATGTCAGTAAAAAGACACAATATTATATTTTTCTCATCTACTAAAAAGAGAAATTAGTGAACATGGACTTTATCTGTGGTTATTAAATCCAGCCCGCCACGTCTCTTTATGTGGCCCGCGAATTCGCCAGCAGAAAAAAAAAAAAAAGTAAAACATTTTTTTTGTTCTTTTTTAATTAAAAATTTGACTTGATAATAAAAATATCCCCACAGTCGAAATTGTGAGATAGAAAGTCGAAGTTATGATGGAAAGTCAAAATGGTGAGATAGAAAGTCATAATTATGAGATACCTAAACACAACAGTCATAGAAGCAGCTCTTTGGCTGGTACACTTGAAATGGAAATGTATTGTGAGTACATTGAAGACTACTTTAAACGTGGCTTTAAAACACATGAAATACTTCACGTGGGCTTGTGCAAACGCACCCTTGAAAGGATTTTAAGCTTTGAACAAAGTTATTGTAATAACTTGTGTTTGATATTTGTGTTTGATATTTGTCTTTGATAGTTTGATCTTTGATAGAGTAATGTGGGTTTATTACCCCTAAATTAAAAGGATTTAAGTTATAATAACAGAAATGTGCTGAAATATATTTTTACATTTATATAACTGCATGTACAATATGTTTACACTTGAATAAACAATAATCAAATGCAGAGACAGTTATTTACCAATATGTTAGGAGTAGTTACATTCACAACCGGCCCTTTGAGGGAAACCATGATGCTGATGTGGCCCAGAGTGAGAATGAGTTTGACACCCCTGCCTTAAAGAGTCTGTCCATCCTTGGTAAACAATTCTGGTCTCTCATGTCATTTTTCTCTTTTGGGAAATCGTCCTGTGATTTAACTTTTACAACTAACAAAATACTTATCCTTCCCTTCCTTCTCTTTCCTCGTCTCTACCCCCTGTGTCACGGTGTGTGTATATCTCACTCGAGTCAGGAAAATTGGCAGAATACCCATATTTGATTGGCTGAGCTTCATCACGTGATGTGATTTACAACGCATTGGTCGGCGTGTTTCCTGCACCGCTGACCAAGTGCCGTAAATGCTGGAAAAGCTGCGCCGGTTAAAATAGAAGCGCTCCGTCAAAATTTTATAATTCTCAATTATCGGTTTAATCTGTTTTAGGTCCTGGGTCTGGATACAACGGCGTCTGGGTCCAGATCCGGAACCGCGGTCCGCTAGTTAGTGACCCTGTGAGGAATTTAAGATTTAAAGCGCTCCTAATTATGGATATAATGTGATACAGTATATTTACTTGTAGGAGTCTGGTCATTTCATGCATTAAGTGTCTGTGAGAGGGGGAGGAATGTGCTGGAGCGGGGGTTGTGTGAAAGTGGCTGGCTGAGGTGTTAACATCAAGACAATGGGGCATAGGCCCAGGTGGGGCTTGTTGGACTTCAGCCAATCAATGAGCTGATCGATGAGCTGACGAATGTAACTTTGGGGTGACAAAGGGTTTGAAGCTCTGGGGGATTTCAGATATTCTGCTGGCCACCGAGGAGGCAGACCAGCCTCCTGGGTGGCTCGGATTGGATCTCACTTTCATTTTATATATAAGTTTGTTTTGTTATTAATAGTGTGAATTGGTTTGTAACTGTCTGTATCTGTTTTTATGCTTCTTGGATAATAAATCCATTTGATTTTTACTTTAACCTGCTGGTGTGTTTTGGAGGCGATTGAGGGCACATGGCTGCAAGGGGGGGGCGGTTTCTCCCTGTTTCCAGAAGTTATGACCATAACAAATTTGTGTACACGAACAAAAGGTGAGCAGAGCCGTTTTAATAAAAATCTGTTTTGGTAGACTATAGGAACCTTAGCCGAAAGTGTTCACAGACCGCATGGTCCCTGAAGGCCTCATCTGGTCACGGGGAGAGACCGCAGAGTAACCTGTAGCTGGAAAAGTGCATTCTCCTGAAATTTAAGGTAAATCAAAAAGGTACGGGGAGACAGTTACAAACTGAATACGAATACTAGTATGTGATGTTTAATTTGGTAATCTAAACAAGGTGGTTTGGTAAGTGGTAGCTCTGCATGGTGATATTTGAGCGAGTGGTAGCTCTGAATTGTGCAGTTCAGGCGAGATAACAGAGCCTTGAGTGAGCTACGGCGGACTGAGATCGCGAAGCGAGGTCTCTTGGGGTCTCGCATTTGCTTCTTGGGTCTAGTAAACTAAAGGCTCAAATATGCAGGAGGGAATCAATTTAATAGTTCCAGAGGGTTTTGGCTAGAGTTCACACCGTTACCACTCTGTGTAGTTGACCAGCTGGGCTGGCCTATTAGGTGGGCCTTGTGAGAACTCTGCCCCACGGGACATATTGATACAAGCTTAAACAGCCGAAAAGAACGGGGTCACGCTTTCGTTAGCCGTTGGCTCCGCTGGAAGGAGGCAGGCTGGCTAGCTCTGCTGGAAGGAGGCTGGCTGTAACAAAGCGCTGGTTTTGACTTGAGTTCACAGGGAAATAATCTGGGGTGGGTAGACAAGAAAGAAGGGGAACATAGTACATTGTATTAACGGTGTATTTTGCGATGAATGATTTTTGCAGTGCTGAAAATTGTGTTGTAAGAAAGGGTAACGCATGGTGTGAATGAATTGTTTGAAGCCGGGAGCTAAAGGCCTGCTCCGGTTCTTACTTTAGAAAGTTTAGATAGTTAGATAAAAGAGGAGATTATAGAAAAATAACCGGTACGTTGGTGAAGGGCCAAGGCCCGGTCTAGTTAAATAAAGAGTGTGCGCCAACTAGCGGACAGGAGGAGCAATTGCTTGATAATTGCAGAAAACTCCTTTACCTAGAGTCCCGGAGGTGTAAATACTTTAGTTAATTTCCATTAACAGTTTTAGTTTTGATTCAACACTTTTAGTTTCCATTAACTGTTTTAATTTTAATTCGACATTTTAATATTGTAAGTTTGTTTCGTTTTTTGTTTTTATTTGTGTCAAAGTGGGATTTAAAGGTGGATCAAATTGGGGTTCCTTGAAAAAGGCAGTTTTTGCCGACAAAAATGTGATCAACTTGGAGTGTGCTTGGAGCAGAGAAAGAGGTGAAGCAGATAAAAATAAATTGATGTCCAAGAGGGAAAGAAAAGAAATGTAACTGTTTAAAATAGACTGGAAAGCATATGTGGAGAGGAATGCAGGGGTGAGACACACACACACACACACACACACACACACACACACACACACACAGAGAGAGAGAGAGACACAGCTCGCAGCAGCAGAAAGGGGGGTCACACACACACACACACAGAGACACACAGACACACAGAAATCTAATAATTGGATTGTAAATTTTTAAATTGTATCTCTACATGAGACAACGTTGTACAGATGTATTCTAACATTTACTGCTGAACTTTGGGCAGTTTTTGTTTTGTTTGTTTTTAGTCGAGGTACATTGTCGAGTGGATCCAGATCTGGGGACTCCGCTTCGCTGCCCTATGCTCCCCAGGAACAGACAACATGACCGACACCCACCACTCAACACGCCGAGGATGAAGAAGACGAACGAGACACATCAAAGTCTACAGAGTCAGCCCTGACTGAAGGCTTTCCGCCATCCATGAGCCTGGAAAATGTCATGCAAGAGAGTTGTGTGACATGGACAGACAAGTTTCGTTAGCACAGATGCAAGGATGCCCAGCTGATAAGGTATCAGGCCATGAGAGGAAGCTGAAAGACGGGGCAGAGACTTTGAGACTTTGACACACACCAACTGAAGACTTCGTGTGCCACAAATGTGGCAGCTTGAACACTAAAGAAGAGGTTGCTCATTCTCCATGAACAAGGAGTGGTGGGAGGGCTCGACAATCATCCATCAGACTGGGGGGTGCAGCAGGCGGCGGAGTGGACCCGAGTTTTGGATCAACGACACGCACACAATACAACACAGAGGGTGCGTTAACTTTAGATTATTTAGATGACAAACTTGTACATTTAATACACACATTAGAAACTAGACAAACACCACTCACACCCACATAGCACATGTGAAATTGAAGGATTTAGAAAGTTAAGAGTTTATTGGAAAGAAAATACTGCTGCTGTCTCTGTTTCTCTGTCTCCCACACAATCTGAGTATTAAAAGGGGGAGATTCCACATGTGTTCGGGTACGAGGACCAGGAATG